GGGACTGGGGCTTGGGGGCAGCCGAGTCCCACAGGGTGCATTTGTCTGGGAAAACTTGCTGGGTTCAGAAGCTCATCTTGTCTCTGTGCTTGTTTTTGCACATTGAGCTCTCTTCACGCGTCTGGTCAATAGTTTATTCCCAAGAATGTGAAGTCATTGTTGGCCAGAGAGCTTCGGCCCTTGGAATTTGGTCTTTAACTCCTGTGTGAGTGTCTGGTTGTCTGGATTTCTTGAGTCTTTGGTGCCCCCAGGGCGTGCAGGCAGGCATTGTGGGGAGACAGCCCCGTGGCAAGACCTGGGAACACGAGGGAGGCTCCTGCCGAATCCTCCGCTGTGGGGTCGTTACAAACGTGAGCTTCGTCTCTTTCCCGTGTTGGCACAGGGCCTGTTGGGGTGCTTTTCCTGTCTTTTTAAACGTATTTTCTGCATTCCCCATGATCAGTTTCTGCCACCTGGGAGGGGGTGGTGTGCTTTCCATTCCGACTAGAATAGTCCGTGGAAGAGCTTCTGGAAGACCCCAGTCTCCTCATGGCATTCCTCGGGGAGCTGTCAAACTCCAGGAGACGCACGTCATATTCTAGGTGAGTTTTGCCCCCTTGGAGGGCAATGCAGTGTGGTTGGCGCTGCTGGTACTGCTAGACTGTAAATCTGGAGGCCTTGGAAAGACCCCGTCCCAGCCCGCCAGGGTGGCATGGCCTGCTCCTTGGTCAGAACCTTCCTGTGTTCACCTGTAGCAAGGAGCACGTAGCCACGGAGAGGTGGCTATGACTCTCTGTAAGTGCCCCGGAGGCTGGGTCTCCTTACACCAACCACTCACACCGCAGTGCCCAGCACTCGGAAGACACGTGCCATTGCCTGCTGGTGGTTGGGCCACAGAAGTCTGGGCTCCCGAGAGGCTGGGAGGAGAGACGCACGTGGAGGACACTCTGGGGATCTAGTGCTGTGTACCAAACCAGCCAAGGTCTGGTGGCATGAAACAAGCATTTTATTGTGCTTATGGATTATGTGGGACCAACATTTCAACATGGCACACTAGGGACAGCTTAGCCCTGCTCCACGAAGCCTGGGGCCTCAGCTGGGAAGACAAGAACATCTGACGTGACTCATACAGCTAGGTCCAGAGTCATGTGAGGCTTCTTCACCCACGTGTCTGGCGCCTGGGCTGGGACGATGTCAGACTTGGGCTCAGAGGTCCTCCCCCGGGAGTGCCCACAGGTGGCCTTGTGATGTGGCTTGAGCTCCCTCCCAGCATGGTGGCACTAGGACAGGCAGACTCAGAGCTCCAAGAGTGTTGTGGTTGACACGACCTTTTCTGCCCAGCCTTGGAGGTCACAGAGCACCGCTGCTACCCCCTCCAGTGGTCAGAGAAGTCACGGAGCCCTCTAGAGTGAAGGGGAGAGAGGCCTCCCGTTTGATGGCAAGAGGGTCTCAGCATTGGCAGCCATGCTTTCAAACTGCCGCGGGCCAGTCTGGATGGGGACCTCTCTCAGCGTCAGAGACAGAGCAGGCGCGTGTCAGGTGGGACAAGGTGAGAGGGTCCTGTGGGCACCGAAGGCAGACGGAGACTTTTAAAAATTAACTTCTGAGGCACACTTCTGAGTCCTGAGAGCTGCTTGTCCCTTCCACTTGTAGGTAGCAGTAGCTGTAAGGGTTCCGGTGGATGGGTCAGCAGTGCCCCACGTTGCCCCCCAACCCCCGGGGCAGCTCTGCGTCTGGGCACAGACACCGACGTCATCCCCTAGGCACAGGGTTCAGACCCCACCGTCACGTCAACCTGAGAACTCACTGTGAAGAGTTTTAGTTAGAAGCTTCCTACAAGAAACTCTTTCTGGTCCCTAAGGGTCACTGTTTCCCACGACTTCTCTCTGGTTCAGGAGCGAGAGCCTTGGAAGGCCCCTCCCCGGGCAGCGTGTAGAGGGTCTCTACATGCTACCAGAGTCGGTGGAGTTAGTGCGGATGCTCCTGCCTAGTCCCCGAGGAGTGAAGTTGGCTGGAGAAGGGCATTTCAGGGGACTTGTCTTAAAAGTCCCCAACTCTGGCCTGTGGCCCTGCTGGAAGCTTGTATTTGCTTGACCTTTTATATGGACATCTGTGGGGTTTTTCTGTGTTCAGTTGGGGATTGCGGTATGTGTCTGTGGTAGGCACTGTACACTGATTTCACCCCTGTGGGAGTTTCTCCAAATGCTTTGGAGATAAACTTTATCATCTGCATCACCAATAGCAATGACGGCACAGAACTCGAGAAGAAAACACTGAGGCTATTTTGGGTAGCCCCGTGCCCCCCCCTTTTCTTAGGTCAGATCATTTTTAGTGGCCTAAGATTTACCAGCTTTCTCGGCCATCTGGTCAGACACAGTTGCCACTGGAAAAGCGTTTTCCCGTTAGAGGTTTGGGTCCAGGAACGTCCTCTGAGGGAGCAGCGTGACTTAGATGGGATCTGCATTATTACTCAGACTGGCAACCCGACTCCTCCAGGACAGGCCACTGATTTGGGTGTGGGCAACATCCGAGGAAGAATATTCTATACCTTGAGCTGCTCGAGCTGCTCTCGGAACTAAGGAAGTCCTTTGTCAGCCCTGGAATGCTGTGTGAGAGACACAATAACACAAGGCCCGAAGTTGCATAAAGAAACACCTTCCTGTATCAGCCTTGAAAGATCTCATTTTTATTTTCAGGATAATGCAAAATAAAAAGGAGATGAAATCTGGAGGGTGAATTAAAAAGAGAGAAATCAGGGGAGAAGGAGGAAGAGATGGGGGAGAATGAGGGAAGAGTGAGAGGTGCATTAGAGAAAATGCATTTCCTCAGCTAAATCGCACAAGAAAATGCTGGCTCACCGTTTGTCCTGTTATGAATAAATATTCGGTTCTGGTCCGTTGAGGTGAGAGGGATGATTGTGCAGCCATGGCAGCAGCAGGCAGCTCTCACAGACATCCCATTTAGAGCTCAAAAATAATCTACCCCATGGCCCAGCTTCCCCCCAGGCTCCCCACCCAAAGCTGGGGTAGACAGGCTCTGCTGAAGTTCTTATACCCAGCGTCCCACAGTAGGTACGACCTTCAGCCCCCAGTGGCTATGAGATCTCGTCACGCCTCACAGCCTGGCGTCCACATGTCTGGGGGTGCATATTATTTGTTTACTGGATTTGTGGCTAAAGCACAGAGATCAACCCCTCAGGCACTTTTGCAAGCACCACAGCTCCTGAACCACCTGGTACGCTTTGCCACCTACAAAACCCTCTGAAAACACTCTACATTCACACACATAAATGAAAAAAAAATCAAGTCTCAACATTTTAAAAGAAACTATAGTCGAAACTATTGGTTGATAAATGGTGGGAGTCCACGTAGAAACGTGTATTTCTGTCCTTGCTGCTAGGCTGGGAGCTTGCCGAGTGGAAGGCTGCTGTCCTATGTCTCAGGAGTCACTCTGTGCTTGGCTCGGGAGGATCTCAGGAACGGCTGGGGCCAAAAAAAAAAAAGGAACGCTGGGGCGTACATAGCGAGCCAGAGGTGATCTTGGCGTTCACCTTGGCAACGCAGCAGGTAGGGCAGCTGGGCTTCGACGGATGAACAGACTTATACCAGGGCATGGAGAGGTTCTGTGCGGGGCCCTGTGGTGGGTTCTCAAGTCCGGTGGCTGTAGGGAGGACCAGCTCCTCCATGTCAGACCAGATCTGGGCAGGATGGAAGGCGGGGCTGAGCACCTGCCTTGCTGAGCCCTGTGAGTGTCGTCTCACCGTGTCAATGAGCAGATCCAGGTTCAGGAGGGTGAGAGAGTTTGCAATCCCTGGACCTGGCTCCCACCACCCAACACTTATCAAATCTGGGTGGGCTGCTCCTGGGTTCCCTTGTGTTTGGGTTTTTGCTGCCTTCCAAGATGAAAGGGACACCCCCCCCCCCAACAGTCTTGCTGAAGGCTCCCCACCTCCTCTGCCTCTGGACACACAGTGTCCAGACACACAGTGGATGTGCACTAAATGGTGGTTATTAATAATATTGTATTTAAGGTAGAAGTTTCTACCTTTAAGGTAGAAGTTTCTATCTTTTTTTTTTTTTAAAGCACAGAAGAAGGAAACATTTACCTACTCTTCTATCAAAATATATATTCTTCCTTCTCATTAGTTTGATCAGCATTAACCTGATGCCTAGAGTTTCAGAAGAACCCGATTTTAGGGGCTGGTGTGACTGAGAAACTAACCTCTTTCTAAACTTCACATGCGAGCAGAAGGTGTTTTTTCAGCTTACAGGGTGGAGAGGGTATTGTTTTTTCTTTATAAAAAATCACTTTACATTTTAAAAAGTTATGAATTTAATGACTGCCCAGTTTAAAGTTTTATTTTCTACAGTCTCTGAGTAGCCCAGTCTGATGGATTGCCCAGAACAAGAAGGTACTTAGTAGACCCAGACTAATTGGCAACCCTCGTGCTTCCTGCTTTAAAAAGTTCTCATTGTCCTCTGGAGGGGATTGAACATTATTTATGTGTGTACAAGTCCTTCTCTTGGAGTCCACAGTCTCTGGGAAGGTGGGGCTATGCCTGACTCACTTGTGCATTTGTGCAACTTGGTGCCCGGCTTGCAGAGGACATCAAGCTTGTTTGAGAGCTTGCCTTCAGCCCTGCGCCTCCTCTGGCTTGGACTTGGGCGCTCCTTGGAAAAGCTCTCGAGGACATCAGAAGGGCCTGGGGTGCTCAGCACTGTACGAAGTGTGTGGGCCTAGGGTTCTGTGGATGGTTATTTCCAAAGACAGCTACCAAAATCCTGGCCAGTCCCCATGCCATGGGGGCATGCGACTTTGACATGCGACTTTGTCCCTCCTCCCATCTAAAGGTGGAGCCTGTTGGCTTTCCACTGGAGTCTGGGTTGGCCTTTGACCTGCTTTGACCAATAGAAGTCAAAATGACGTCATGTCACTTCCAAAGGTTGACACCCGCCCACCTTGCAGTTACCATTTACTCTCTGGGCATCCCGAGTCCATATAAAGAGGTCCTGTACATGTAGGAGAAACCACGTGAAAAAGGGAGGCCCAGAGGAATGAGGCCCACGAGCAAAGAGAAGCCTCGGAGGCTGGAAGAGCAGGAGCAGACAGACAATCAAGGCCGACTCGGCTCTTGCAGATGAAAGCGCAGCCCCTCAGCACTGCACAACCTGTGGAACAGAGACGCGTCCTGGCCGAGCCTGCCCAGCCAACCCACAGAATGGTAAGTAAATACAATGGGGTTTGTTTTAAGTCACCAGGTTTTGGGCTAGTTTGTTACGCTGAAACATAAACTGGCCTAAATTCAAATTCCAATTCTGCACCTGCTAATACTGTGGTGGTGAACACAGGTTTTAGCCTCTTGCGCATGTATAAGTTGAAAATAATAATACCCACCTAATGACATTAGGAGTGACATTCTGGAGTACCTTGCCAGACACACCCCCTGATGTGGAATTGCCCAAAACCCAGGGTGGGGTTGGTCTCAGGTGGCAAGGCTGCCCTGTGCAGGTTTGTCTGCACTCTCCTCCTTAGCTAATGGCACTAGAGGGTGGCACCTGATCCCAGGGGACCTGTCCAGACTCAGGTGCACCTGTTTGATTCTACCTGGAGATTATAAACTGAGAAGCCCAGAAATTGAAGGCAGAGAGTTGAACCCTGGAGTTTTCGAGTAGAGTTGAGGCCAGTATCGGATCCACAGGGAACCAAAGTCACACATGAGCGAGAACTGAGAGGGCGCTGGAGCTCGGAGGAGGCAGACCAAGACAGTCTGCAGGGCAGGTGGGTAGACAGAAGCCGAGAGAGGCCACCTGGCCCCGCGGGAGACTGGGAAGGGAGAGAGTGTCCGCGGATGACTTTCACCTCCCCTCAGATGCGCCTCAATTTCCTGCCTTTGGCTCTAGGAGATTCCCTTGTGCCCTCTTTCCTCAAGCTGGTGTGCGTAGGAGTCTGTTGCTTCCTGCCAAGTTATCCCTCATTAAATGTGAAAATTTAAGTAAATGCCAGAGACACAGTGCATGTGCACTAAATGGTGGTTATTAATAATATTCAGTCTTTAAGGTAGAACAGTGTTTCTATCATTTTTTTTTTAAAAGCACAGAAGAAGGAAACATTTACCTACTTTTCTATCAAAATATATATTCTTCCTTCTCATTAGTTTGATCAGCATTAACCTGATGCCTAGAGTTTCAGAAGAAACCGATTTTAGGGGCTGGTGTGACTGAGAAACTAACCTCTTTCTAAACTTCACATGTGAGCAGAAGGTGTTTTTCCCTCAGAGACCACAGCTCTGGGGGTGCGGGGGTTGTGGCCACCTTTGCCACAGAGTGTACCCCAGCTGGTCACTGACGATGTGGGGAAACTGAGGTCTGTGTGGGGGAAGCTGTGTTTCCTGGGTGTTTTCTGTGAATTGATTACTCAGAATAGGATTTTTCCAGAGTCACAGGCTCTAATGAGATGCCTCACAGGTTGGCTGCAGTGCAAGAATTCTCTGGAAAAGAAGGAGTCATAATCCTTTGATAATATTTTCCTAACATCCACTAAGCACCAAGAGGAAGTTTTCAGTGAGTAATAAATTGTGTGTTCTCCTTTATAGAAAACCTTTCTTTCCTACCTTGGAGCAATAGCTCAGCTTTTTTTTTTATTTCAGCATATTATGGGGGTACAAATTTTAAGGTTTCAAATAATTCCCTTTCCCCCCTCCCCCCATATGTATACCATGGAGTACTATTCAGCTCTAAGAAACAACGGTGATATAGCACATCTTGTATTTTCCTGGTTAGAGCCGGAACCCATACTACTAAGTGAAGTATCCCAAGAATGGAGAAACAAGCACCACATGTACTCACCAGCAAACTGGTATTAACTGAGCAGCACCTAAGTGGACACGTAGGAACTACAGTAATTGGGTATTGGGCAGGGGGGAGGGGGTGGGGCGGGTATATACATACATAATGAGTGAGATGTATGTATATACCCGCACCGTCTGGGGGATGGTCACGCTGGAAAATAGCTCAGCTTTTGACTGACTGGCAATATGGCCTTGGGCAAACCATGGACCTCTCAGCCTCAGCTTTCTTATCTGTCAAACCAGGACAGTGAGAGTTAACACCTCCTGGGGTTGTTTGAGAAATAAGTGACTGTCAACTCTGCTTTCAAGTCCTACCATGGGTCCTGGGCCACTGGCCCCGGGTACCCTGCAGGTCCCTCCTCTCCTGCCCCTAGACAGGGGCGGTGCCGCCCCTCCTCATGTCGCCTTTGAAGCCTAGACCCAGACCCCCCTCAGCAGGCACCTTCCTCCCAGTTATCTTTCCAGGGGAGATGATGGGTTATGCAGAGTCATTCATTTCTTGCCAAAATCTTCTTTTTTATGTGCTTCTGGCCTGGGATCAGGAAAAAAAAGTGAATGTCCTAGAAAAGAGCCCTTCTCTGTGTTCCTTGTGAGCTCAGTGGCTCTGTCCCAAACAAGTGCGCCCTGCAGTAAGGAGGGCCTTAGGTAACATGCCAGGTGGGCAGGTCCTGTCCCCAGGCCCAGCCCCGCCCTGAGCCCGTCCCTGGCATACCTGCACTTGCACCACGCCAGGGTCCCAACACGCTCCCGCTCTTCACTTCCCTGCCTCCATCCAAATGGTTCTCAGGAAGGGCTCTTAGGAATCCACGTCTATGTGAACAGCCAGCACCAATGTCACCACCCCAATGGTCGTTGGTACTACAATAGGGGACAAAGCTTGAAGTCAAAGGAATTAATCTCAACTGCAGGCACTTGCCCATCAGTGGCAAGCTGATGTTAGATTGAAGGCAGGGTGGGGTGCGGAGCGTGGCAGAGTCTCACGACTCTGGGACTATTACAGCCTCGTTTCTCATCACGGGCGTTGACCACTAACTGTATTCCTGCTCCAGACCCAGCCAGCAAGCCCCGAGGGCCTGAACTGTGCCCAACCAGCAGAAATGTGGCCTGGGGTACAGTTTCTGACCTCTAACCTGCTAGAATTCTCCTTTACTATAAGTCACAGTTATAGGTTTAACCTCACTCAGTGCTGCATTTTAAAAGAATTGATTTTAAGAAACTACACGTCCCAATTTCAGGACACTCATATCTGGAGAGGGTCACACCTGATCTCCTCTTTCCCGAAAGCTTCGGCCTATACCTGATCCACAGACTGCAGTTGCTCCTTTTATAGCCTTTCTGACCTGGTACAGGGGTTGCCTGTAGGCTCGCCCTTGCCCCAGCCTCCGGGCCGAGTCTGTGTCCAGTGTGGGCATTTAATGATGTTAACTCAGGACTTCTTCACGGCCTCCTCCTCAGCCTGGCACTAGCAGCTGTGCTCAGCTTGGCAGTGCGAAAGCCTGGGCTGTCACCTTCGCTCTTTATTTTAGAAACTATTCCTTTGCTTCCTGTTAATTCTTGCTCGTTATAGACACAGAAGACTTGTGACACTACCCTGTGACACTACCCCGCCCAGCAAATGTGAGAGCAGTTGCAAAATAGCAAAGTGCTGGCTGGTGGGAAGTATAGGAGACCTAGTACAAATGAAAAGGATCAAGGTAATTAAGATATACATATCTTGTCCATGAGGGATATAAAGAAATTAGTCTTTCATATATTTGTCTCTAATTTTTACATATCAGTCATACTTCTTTTCATGTTGACTTTAAAGCTTGGTCTGAGTGGGGAAGATTCAGTTATTATTTCTGAGACATTCATACTTGGGTTTGAAAAAAGAAGTTGTATGAGTCCTTAATATCTGGAAAATATTCTACAGGTTCCATGAACCATTCAGATGGACCTGGTGGGGTCCACTTCCAGTTCTCTGCCCCCAGCAGTGTAGAAAATAGAGATTGTGTGGCAGTAACTTGTCAACTCACATTCTCTCCTTCTTATTTCCACGTTTGAAACATGCTTCTCAGTTGTGCAGGGACTAAGACCCAGTTTGGGGAGTGTAATGGGTTATGGGCCTTCTAAGATTGGAATCCAACCCGTATTTGAAAAGACGGAGCACATGACTGCTATGGATAAGAGAGAGAACTTTATTACGTTCAATTTGAAGTATTTTCTGTTCTAAACATTTGTTAAATAATAACCCTGCTGTTCCAGAGAAAGTGATACTTTACAAAAAGAAGATTCATCTTGAAGAAATTCAAATGTAATTATAGTTCAGGATTTACAATTTCCTGACAGAAACAAATCTGTAGAGTAATTTTTGAAAATGTGCATTTTCAGCTATAACTTGTGTTCCACTGGGTTTCTTAATGAAGGATTCAAGACATCCGAAAAATGTTCCCAAATGTGTCCTGGGGTGGGTCTCCAGGGAGCTCATGAGCAGGTCCTCCCTGTACCATGTGGCCCTGCCATTTTCTACCTCTCTAGCTCAGTCAGTGATAGGGGGGTTCCCTTCCTTTGCAGGTCTCTAAGGTGTCCTGCACTGTCTCAGGTGCTCAGCAGTGAGTCCCTTTTGCTGTTCTCTGCAGCCAGAGCCAGGCATCCCTGCCATGCCTGGCCCCACTGCCTTTCCTGCAGCTAAGTGTGCAGCTGCCAAATGCCTCCAATCCTACTATGGGAGCCTGGGGTGCTCGGGCCACCCTGCATTTCATGCAGAGCTCAAAGCAGAGACCAAATCATGTCATTCCAGGCTCAACATTCTGTTCATTATGAATATCCTAACCCTAACCGTAACTGCCTCAGTAACATTTCTTTTATTTAAACTTTGAAACTGCTCTGAGAGTAAGGACTATGAGATCTGGTCACTGACCACCTTCCTCAGGAGCAAAGGTGGTCCTAAGAATAGGGTTAAACAACCTTGAACCGCTTAGTTCCTCAGACCAGCTCTGGCATAATGGACAGAATATTGCATGAATCAAGCCCCTGGCTTTGAGGTCTGTCTCTGCCTTTCCTTGTTGGTTACCTTGGGGCAAACCACCTAACCTCGCTGAGCCTCAATTTGTTTGCCTGTAAAATGGGAGGGTCACATTGATCCTGCCAATCTCTCAGGGTCACTGTGATGTTCATGCCTCGTGGTGAATTTGAAAGCAGCAGTGGGTGGCACACACAGCGCTTAGAGCCTCCAGCCAGCAGGGTGCAGGGAAGGGAGGCTAGGGCTGAGCCTCCCTCAACAGGGCGGCCACTGTGGCTCTGCCCCCCGGCTTGCCTTGCAGTGCTCTCTGGGACACTCCTGTTTTGGGTGGAAAGGTGAGTGTCACGTCCAAGTGGCCATTGTGACCACATGT